AAGTGCTTACTGTATGCCAGGCACTGTGCGAAGGGCTGGGGGGACAAAGAGAGAACTCCCCCCACTCACCCACAGTCCCCGCTTGTAAGGAGCTTCCATTCTAATGGCAGCCATAAGGATTCAGGATTGGCCATCTGAATTCTGGCTCTGCCAAGGGATGAGCTGTATGGCCTCGGCTAAGGCATTCCACTCTCAGGGTCTCAGTTTCCTGATCCGTAAAGTAGAGCCAAGACCATTTGCTTTCCTTAGGGCAAAGGGTCATTGTGAGGAAAGTTCTGGAGGCCTGGCTGATGACACCAAGCCAGAAGCGCTTCAAGTGGGGCCAGTAACTGAGGTCTGGATCTGTAGCCCAGGGAGGCTCAACATCGCCAGGTTGGCACAGGGAGGGAGAGATGTTTGGCTGCTTGGGAAAGGAGGCCCTACACTTCTGATGTCATAGATTCTGGCAGCATTATTTTAATTATTTTAAGTTTTATTGATTTTTTTTTGTTTTTATTGAACAGTATTTCCACCTATATGTAGCCCTTCCAGGGAGAATGCCTCTGCAACATGTAATGCCTAGGAGACTCCCTCCCCAGCTCTCAGGAGAAGTCTCCTAGAGAAGGCTACCCTAGGTCCAAGGGGCCAGGTCCACGTCCACCACAGCTCTGGAGCCCCTAGCAAAGTATGCAGCTTTACTAATCAGCCAGAAGACACCATGTATTCCAAGCAAATGCATTTAGTGAAACAGCACAGTAAGAAAAGTAGCTCTGACATATTCTCCCTCATAAACCCACCAAAACAAAGCATCAGTGGGAAAGATGGACACAAGTGGGGAACACCCGTGGAGAGGACAGAACAAACACATGGAAGAGATGTGGTCAAGGGACAGAAATGGAGGGACAACTCATGCCCCCAGTGCTGCAGGGTATTGTCATCTAGTGATGTCATTGCACTGCGCCGCCGGAACTGCTTCCACCCTGGATCATCTCCACCAGGAACGACAGGTACAGCCCTACTCGGCACATGGCTGCGAAGCTTCTCTGGGCTCACAAATTTACTTATTTTTTGGCTAGGCAATGGGATTAAGTGACTTGCCCAGGGTCACCCAGCTAGTAAGTGTCAAGTGTCTGAGGACACATTTGAACTCAGGTCCTCCTGACTCCGGGGCCGGTGCTCTATCCACTGTGCCACCCAGCTGCCCCTCTGGGCTCCCAATTTCAGGCTTCAGCTGAAGTCCTTGGTTCCAGGGCCTCCTAGCTCTTCCTCATGAGAAGAGTGGGCTCTGTGGTGCTCTTTTAGTTCAAGGCCCCAGGAGGCTTTATAAAAAAAAGTAGCTATTTAAAAGAGCAGCCACTTGTACGAAGGTTCAACACAGCCTTCCTTTGGAGGAAAAACAAAGACAAAGTTTTCCCCCTCAGTGAGTAAGCAGTTAAGGTTCCTCTTGTAAGCCTTGGCACAGAGGACTCTACCTCTGGCTGGAGATTCTTCTCCCCAGGTGCCACACCTTTAAGAACAAAGAGCAGACACATTCCTAACCAAGTAGCTCGTGCCCTCAGGCTCAAGTCTGTCCCTTTGAAATAAACTTTCTGGCTGACCTTGGGTCTCTTCGGCAACCTCTCCCTGGCCTAGGATGTGCATTCCCAACCAGCTCCTCCAGGACCTTCCTCAGAATCTCATCATCCTTTTAAGGGCTGCGCGCCCAACAGCTGCCACCACATTCCGGGGTTCCAGGCCCCCCCGTTTTACAGTTCCAGTCTCCTTCTGCTCTCCAGTATAAGGTGGGGTGGGATTGCAAGCCCGGGGAGGTAGGGGTTTTCTCTCCTACCCCCTTGTCTCTCCTCCCAGGCTTCGACATGGCTTTGAGGTCATCCTTACGGAGAACGCCGCCCCCCAAAAAAAGAAGAGTTAAGAAAAACAACCCTCCATGATCACCTATGAGACGGTCTGCGACAATCCGTGCCCCGAGTCCCCACGACTCGGAGGAGACTGGAGGAAGAGCCAGACGGGGCCGGGATAACGGGGACTAGCCCTGCAGAGGCAGCAGTACGGGTGGGCTTCACCGCCGCCGAGCGGGGATGCACCGCGGGATACCTGCTTTACAGCGGGGGTAAACAGGCTCAGAGAGGGGACTTGCCAGGGTCCCTCCCAGAGCCGGTATGTAAACCCAGGTCTTCCGGATTACAAGCCCGGCTCTTTCTCTTCTACTTCATGCAGCAGCTCAAAGGCTGCGTCCATTTAACGGAGGGGGAAACTGAGGTTCAGAGAAGGCAAGGAACTCGCCCAGGATCAACAGACTCCAAATCCAGCCATGTGTCCACTTGGCCAAGCTGCCTCTAGATCGGGGCACCCATTTTGCGGAGTAGGTTACGGAGAGTCAGGCACGGGAGGGCTCAGAACACGCTCCCCCACCCCCGCCCTCGGGCTCTGAAACCAGCCGTTTTCCTCGAGGGCGGGGCTTAGCGACGCGGAGGCACCACGTGACTCGGTCTCCGTGGCAACACCTCAGCGCGTCCCAACCTCTCTACCTCCGGGTGAATCCCCGCCTCCCTCGTCTCCCGCACCGCGAGAGGCCAGGAACCGTCGGGCCCGGGCGGCTCCGGAAGCGCGCCCCGCCCCCTCGTGGCCGCGAGTGGACGATCGGGTGATGACGTCATTCCCAGGGCCGAGGAGCGAGCCCAGAGGCCGCGGCGCCGGCGCTTACGTCACTTCCGGCGCGGTGTTTGTTAGCGGCGGCAACGGCGACATGGCTCTGAACGGAGCAGGTGGGACCGGGCCGGGCCCAGGGGAGGGGCGGGGCTGGGCCGAGGGTGGGCCCAGGGGAGGAGCGCAGGCCCGGGGCCGGGGCCGCGGAACGGGCCGGGGGTGGGTTAGGGGGAGGCGGAGGCCCAGGGCGCCGCAGGGCCTCCTCACCCGCCCCGGGGCCCCGCGTCCACAGAGGCCGGCGAGTCGGACTGGGAGCCGCCTTCCGAGGCCGAGACCAAGGTGCTGCAGGCGCGACGCGAGCGGCAGGATCGCATCTCCCGCCTCATGGGCGACTACCTGCTGTGTGGCTACCGCATGCTGGGGGACACGTGCCAGGACTGCGGGGTGCGTGGCCGGGCCGGGCCCCCTCGATGACGCGTGGATGCCGAGTCTGCGGGGGCGGGGCGGGACGAGCAGAAAAGACGAGGAGGGTGCTCCTTGTGGATACAAAACACAAGTACCCAGCCCCTGGGTGGGGACCCCCAAGGCCTTCCTTAGAGGAGGTGACATTCAGCTGAGCCTTAGTCAGAGCAGGGGGAAGCCCTGGGGACTTGTGGTCATTCACTAGTGGAGCCTCTCCCCTTTCTCACCTCCACCTCCTAGCTTCCCTAGCTTCCTTCACAGCCAGCCTGGTGCAAGCACCCGAGCACTGTGAGGGGCGCTGGAAAGAGGGCTGCATCTGGAGTCTGGACCTGGGATCAGTATCTCGCTGAGTATCTCTGAGGGCCTTGGGTCACATCTCACCTCTCTGGGCCTCAGTTTCCTCATCAGTGAAAGGGGCATGTTAGAGAACAGATGCTTCTAAGGACCCTCCCAGCTCTACATGTGCATACCAGAGCTGGGAGATTTAGAGCATCACTCCCTCCCGTTTGTTCACTCATTCAAGCATTTATTGAGCAGTAGGAGGAAACGGGCTTGTGGGGGGATATGGCTTCCTTAGGATCACATAGAGAGTAGTAGAACCCTTCTTTGACTTTTTTCCAGACCATTTTACTCCAAGACAAACAGCGAAAAACTTACTGTGTAGCTTGTCAGGAGCTGAATTCAGACGTGGACAAAGACAACCCAGGTGAGGAGGTCCTGGGAATCCTTGGGATGGGAGAAGATCAGAGCCTCTGAGCTGGGTGTCCCAGAGGTTGAGAAGATGCTGTTTCTGGGTCAGGGAAGCAAAGGTGATCGAGGGGTTGCCTCATCAGTCTGATTCTGGAGTACTGTAGGCAGTATCCTGAAGGAGTTGAGTGGGCTGAGAAAAATCAGCCCTGATCTGGGGGAGCAACCCCACAGGGATAATGCCCTTTCAGTCTCCCCTGTAATGTCCTCTTCCTTCTAGCCCTGAATGCCCAGGCTGCTCTCTCCCAAGCCCGTGAACATCAGCTAGCATCCTCAGAGCTCCCCACTGCTTCTCGACCAGCCCCACAGCCCCCTGTCCCCCGGCCAGAGCACTGTGAGGGGGCAGCTGCTGGGCTCAGGGCTGCCCAGGGGCCTTCTCCCACCTTGGCTCCCACAGCATCTGTGGCCCCAGATGTCCTGGCAGCCTCACAGTCAGCTTTGCTTCAGAAACTCGCGTGGGCCTCGGGAGAACTGGGCCCCAGCACCTCTTTGGAAGGAAGCATCCAGCTTTGCACCCTGATCCGGGTCTGTGCTGAAGCTCTGCAGGGGATTCGGCAGCTGCAGCAGTGAGGGGTCTTGGGCAAGAAGGGCCCCAGGGCGTTGGACTTGTCTAGTGTATGGGTCCAGGATTTATTATGAATAGCTGCAAGAGAAAGGCACAGAAAAAACCCTTGCCCCTGTGTAGTGTGGTTTATTCCTTCTCCCTTTGGCCGTGGTCCTCCTGTGTCCTGCTGAGCTCCAGCCGCTTTCCTCTATCTCTCCAGTCTGGATGTCGCAGCCTCTGGTGGAAAGAGCCTTTGGCTTGGAGTCACAAGGCCTGTGGTGGCTGCCTTCATAGCTTTGTTCTTGTGTGACCAGTCATTTGGATTCTGGGCCTCAGTTATCTCACAGGGGAAATGACAGTCCAGCTTCCGCAATCTCTTGAGGTTCATCCCTGCCCAGAGTCTTTAGCCATTTTCCCACTATCCCTTTCCTGTGAGAGGTAGCCTGGCAGACTTGTGCTGGTGTATGAGGTGAAGCAGGGATGCCTAGAACTGTCGCCTTTTGGTGAGGCAGTTGGGGTTAAGTGACTTGCCCAGGGTCACACAGCTGGTAAGTGTAAAGTGTCTGAGGTCAGATCTCCTGACTTCAAGGCTCTATCCACTGCACCACCTAGCAGCCCCCAGAACTCTTAAAGAAAAGGAGAGAACCCTGGGAGGGGCCAGCCCCTGGGTGCCCTGGCCCTGTCCCCAGAGAGGGTCCTCCTGCTGTGGATGAGGAAACAGACTTAGGGAGAGTTTTGACTTGCCTGAGCTTACTTAGCCAATGAGAAGCCAGATTGGGGGTGAGATGGAGGGGGGATCTAGGTGATGAAAACAAAAGATATAAATACTGTCCCTCCCCTCCCCAAGAAAAGGGGCTGGGATTTGAAACCACGATCTGAGTTTGCACTAGTGGACCATAGCCGTGGAGACGTGGGCCAGCAGGGTCCCGGATCAGGTCCAAACTTGTGTTTGGGAAATGAAGGGGGGGCCGAAGAGCCTAAGGTTGGAGTGGCCCTCGGTGACCATAGAGTCCGCCCACATGATAATCGATAGGGCTTCTAGATCAAGAGCTCCAGGAGAGCAGGGGAGGAAAAATGGCTCGGGCTTCCTCTACAGCCTCCTCAAGTGGGGTTCAGCCCTTAGGAGTCCTTTAGAAACATACGCCGGAGACGGCGAGGTAGCCGTCTGGGCCCCGAAGCCAAGGGGCTCTGCCTCCCTCCATCCCGCTTCCCACTGGTGTCTCCTCCCACCTTAAAGGAGCTGCGGCCTTTTCCCCTTCTCCCTGTTGGGCCTTCCTTAGGAGCATCCCAAGGAGATTGGAGCTGGGGTGAATTCCTCTTCTTTCCCGCCTCCCGTCCCATGCTTGGCACCTAAACTCTTCTCCCATTCGGTCCCCCTGCCACATCGAAGCACTGTGAGGAGCCGCTCGGACAGTCCGTTTTCCTTTTATGAAAGGCTCCGCCCCTTTGGCCGAGGGGAGGGGGCGTAGGGTGGGGCTTCTCCGGAGCCGAACAAAGCCGGCACTCAGTGGGGCAGCGGCGCCCGGGCCGGGCCGGGCCGGGGCCAGGGCCGGGCGGCCAGAGGAGAAGGAGGAAGAGGAGGGCAGGAGGGGGCCGGGTGCTAGGGCCCATTTTCTCGCCGGCCCCCCGCGTCGCGCCCATGAACGGGTTGCCGGGGGGCCCTGCGCCGGCGCCCGCGCCCTTGGGCTGCCCGCTCGAGGGGCTCCCGCCGCTGCCCCGGGGGCTCAGCGGCCTCCTCAACTCGAGCGGGGGCTCGTGGAGGGACCTGGAGCGCGTCTACAGCCAGCGGAACCGCATCCAGGACGAGCTGAGCCGGGCTGGTCGCGCCCCCGAGGGACCCTCGCAGCCCCCGCGCCGCCCAGCCAACCTGGACTCGGCTTTGGCAGTGTTGCGGAAGGAGATGGTGCGGGTCGGATCGGGAACGGGGGATGATGGGATGAAATGGGAGCGCGGGGGCAGGGCTAGGATGCTGGGGAGGCAGGATGGATGGCCGGGGCGTGCTGGGATGGAGAGGCAGGAGCTGCAAAGGAGGAGCAGAATGGCCAGCGGTTGCTGTGATGGGGTAGAGGACCGAGATGGCCTAAAGGAACTGCCATGGGGGAACCTGGATGGCCGGGGGATAGGCACGGTGTCAGGGGGAAGGAGAGGGCGTCACGGCTTCCGGCATACCCATTGGTGTCCCTCCTAACGCTGCCCTGCCCCTCCCCAGGTGGGCCTCCGCCAGCTTGACATGTCTCTGCTGTGCCAGCTGTGCTCTCTACACGAGTCCATCCAAGACTACAAGCACCTGTGCCAGGACATGAGCCTGTGCCAGGACATGTCATCGTCCCTGCACTCGGACAGCTCCTACCCCCCGGACACAGGCTTCTCTGATGATGAGGACGAGCCGCCCGACTGCAGCCTGCCCCGGGACCCGCCCCCTCTCCGGGTCCCCCAGACTCACAATTCCCGGGATAAGTGGCTGCAGGACTCATTCAGTCTCTGAGGATGGGTCCCTGGCCCTGGTGCCCTCTGGAGGCCCATCGAGGCCGGGGCCTAGCCCATTCCGCCTCCCCCCATATAGTGCAGGCAGGTACACACGGGGGGGGGTACACACACCCGGGCTCACAGGTGAGCACACGAACTCACTCTCCCTGAGCCCTGTGATCTCTCACTGTGCTAGTTACCGGGAATGGCTGGGGCCCATAGGTGGTTTCCCTACCTTCTCTTTCAGTCACTTCTCTCAGAGAAGAGATATTGACTTGCTAGAGATCCAGGCTCAGCATTATCTCCCACCCACTCCCAGACCCAGCTGTCAGTGGACTCACCCCATCCACCCTGAGGCCCTCTTCTCCCCCGCTGCCCTTCAAGGGCTCCCAGGCAAGCTCAGCTCTCTTGAGGCCAATCACTTGGGCAAGGGAAGAAGCATCTGAAAGAACTTTGCCCTTGGCACCTTGGCCAGATCGCTAGAGCCTCTCCTGCCACCAACAGTCAGCTTGGCTCCACATCTAAAAAGGAAGCTAGCTGGCTCTGCTATGGGGGCAAATAGCATGGCAAAGGAGAACAGCTCCATAACTCATTTTTTGCTGCCCCTGTAGGAGTAGTGTCCAGCAAGCTGGGGGGTCAAGCTTGGCTATTGGGCAAGACCCAGCCCAAAGGTCGGCCTTGCTTCTCACTTGGCAATGGGGAGGGCTGGGGTGCAGGACTATGCCCAATATTTAATGTACTGGGACCTCGGCCTTGGGGCCCCACAAATAAATAAATGGCTCTGTCTCTGCTCACTTCTTGTCTTTTGTAAGCTAGGGATGGGAAGAGGTGTGTCCGGACAACGGGGATGAGCTGTAGCACCTCCTTCTACCGGCAGGTGGGGCTGGAGCAGCATGGCTGCGTCAGGGCCTTCTGAAGTTGGTTAGGACTGGCGCGTGTGCCACTTGCCAGGCCTGTGTGCAAAGCCTTGGCCTGGGAGTCTGCAGGGCTGGGCTCTGATCCCTGTTCTGCCCCTAACGGGTTGGGGCTGTGCTAGCTGGGACAAGAAGACCCCTCTCCTCCCTGGGCCCCCCATTTCCTCTTCTGTAAAAACCAGGGCCTTCTGGCTAAATTTGACCCCATCTGGAGCCTAGGGGGATGGGGGTGGGGAGGAAGTGGAAGGAACCGTCCATCTTGAGGAGAGAAACTTTCCACCCAGCCTGGGGGTGGAGTTGAAGCTAAGGCTGGGGCTCCTGCTGGGGCAGGAAGTGAGAGGGCTACACTCCCAGACCCATCGTTGAGAACGTTCCCCTGGGGAGGAAGGGAGGGAGGGAGGGAGGAACCAGCTGAGGGGGCTTTCTTCCCCACCCTCTCCCCATCCAAGGAAGGAGAGTTAGATTACAAACTTCAGAGGGACCTTGGGGGAAGCCCAGCTCCCAGGGAAGAGGGCAGGACTATGCATTTATGGGGGGGGGGAGTGAGAAGCTTGCAGATACTTAAAATAATACATTCCAAACTTCTTTCTCATTCAGGCCCCTTGTCAAACATTACAGCTCACGAAGTCTCAGAGTTCTCAGAAGTCTGCAGTTCAACAGTCCCACAGCTGAGCCACACCCAGCTCGGGAACCCCCCCCCCCCGGAACAGCGGTGAAGCCGGCCTAGGTTCACCACAAACACTTCTCTCCACACCCCCGCCCCCCCAAGCCTTTACAAAGAGTAAAGGGCCCTGGAACCCAGCCACTGCTGGTAAATAATTCACGGAGCTCAGCATCGACTCTCCAAGCAGATCAAGTGGACTCCAGAGAACAGAATAGGGATTGATCATCAGTAAGGCTGGTGTCTTGATATGCTCTCTTCTTGATTTGGTTTTGTTTTTTTGGTAAGGCAATTGGGGTTAAGTGACTTGCCCAGAGTCACACAGCTAGTGAGTATCATGTGTCTGAGGCAGAATTTGAACTCAGGTCCTCCTGACTCCAGGGCCGGTGCTCTATCCACTATGCCATCTAGCTGCCCCCTGCTCTCTTCTTTAGACCTCACAACAACCCTGCATGGTAGGTCCCAAGGGTAGTATGGTCCCCATTTTACAGATGAGAAAACTGAGTCTTTAGAGATTAAGTAACTCGCCCAAGCTTGCACACCTAGTAAGTGTCAGAAGCCGGGTTCGAACCTGTCTTCCAATTTTAGGTCCAGTGATCTTCGCACTCCTATCTCACCTCTCAGTCTGGATTCTCTTCTGTCAACACATTAGGGTACTTGTGGTATGTGTGGAGGGAGCAGACACCCAGTCCATCCCTTCCTCCTTCCCTAGATGTCCATTTTTGTTCCCGCATCATTCTATACTTCCACCCCTTCCCCCTCCCCAGGGACAGGGATAGGAACCTGGCCTGGGATTTCACCCTTATAGGGAATTCCCATCTGAGGAAGCACCCTTTGCTGATGCAGGTAGGCACCTTTCATGCACCTCCTCAGTAAGAGATTGCTTGTCCCCTTAGCTCACTGAAAGCTGCAGTCACTTGCCCAGAGCCATCCAGGCAGTGTGTGGCAGAGGGGGGAGCCCAGGTCTTACTGGCTCCAAGGCCATCTTAGCCACTAGACCAGACTTGCACCTCTCAAGCCCCCCTGAACAGTGGGAGATTCACACAAAGTGCCAGTCCAAAGGAAGCTCACCCCCTGCCCCGATTTGCAGGCATGACAACCAGCCAAGCACACCCACTTTTCTGCAGACCCCGCCCCCCTTCACACACACGCATTCCCTCCCAACTCAGTTCCCATTCAGGATGTACCCCTAGGCAGCTCCTAACAACCTCGGGCTAAATGGACAGAAATGACACCGAGCGCAGCTCCCCACCAGGAGCGCACACGCTTAGCGCCTTCGGCCAGTCCCCCCTGCCGGCCTCCCTTGGTCATGGGCACAGGCCGGGCAGTCAGTCCCCTCCCCAGCCCACCAGTGGGCCCCCGCTGCAGCCCTCCCAGTTCAGGCAGAGTCCCTTAGGAGCCCGATGACCCCCACTTTGGGGAGGCTCGTCCCGGGGCCCGCGCCCACGAGGGAGCACGGGAGCGCACTGGCCGCCTGACAGCCTGCGCCCTCCCAAACCCGGCCACCCGCCTGCCGTTCCGCAGAATTTACACCACACCTCCCGGCCTCTCCCCTCCTCCTCCTCCTGGCCTCGCGGGCTTCCAGGTCCCAGGGCCAGGCTCCCCCTCCCCCCACCCCCGCCCCACCCCACCCCCTTCCCCGCCCTCCTTCCGTCGGGGTGGGGGTGGGGGGTGCGGCTCCAGGAAACCGGCGCCCAGTTCGCTGGCTCCGAGTGTCGGTCAGCTACCCTGGCGCGCGCCCCCAACCCCGCCGAGCGCTCCCAAACTTGGGTCAGAGAAGAGCCTGAGTCCGAGGCTTCGTCCTAGCTGCCCAAGCCTAGACTGGATAGGACGAGACTGGACGGGACGGGACGCGTCGCTTCTAGACCCAAGCGAAGGGGACGCTCAGCACTGAGACCTGGGACTGTCGGGCCGCGGACTTTGAGACACCAGCCCCTGAGAGTTGGGGGGCAGTGAGTGCCAGGAGCATCCACTCACCCAGCCCGGCCTATGGTACCCGGAATGGAGCCCCGCGGCCCGGTAGGGGCTGCTGACTACCGTGTCTGAGGGGAGGGGGCCGGGGAGGGGGAGAGGCCATGACCTCGGTGTGGAAGCGGCTCCAGCGAGTGGGTAAACGCGCCGCCAAGTTCCATTTCGTGGCGTGCTATCAGGAGCTGGTGGTGGAGTGCACCAAGAAATGGTGAGTGTGTTCAGTGCGTGTGTGAGCAGTGTGGTCGGGAGGGGGCTCACTCCTGCCTCCCCCTACACTGTGCCCTCTTCCCAGGCTGGCACTGTCTTCTCTCTCTCTCTCTGCCCTCCCCCATGTCCCTGGGTCAGCCCCCATGCTCCAGCCCCTCCATGCCCTCACACTGTGCCCTCTCCTCAAGCTGACCCTTCTCCCCTTCCCCTCCTTAGTGGGGGCGGGGATGCCTCTCACATTCTTCTGTCTGACAGGAGCAGGGCCCATCCTCCCAGCTCAGGGGTCTGTCAGTCAGACAGAGCCTCCTCAAAAATGGGGCTCCTAGGAAAGTTTGAGGAGGCAGATGTGAGGAAGGAGACATTTGAAGGGGGGTCCTTCTGGGTAACAGGGCTATTCAGTGTAGTGGGTCCCCAGCTGCCTTCCACATGAGGGGGGCAGGGATTGGCATATGACAGGCAGCTGCCTGCTCTTTCTCCTCAGAACTAGGGTGTAGGGGAAGGTGAAAACCCCCAGAACTCCGTAGAACTCTACCTCACTTCTTAAGTCATGCCCCAGCCCTCTTGCCCCTTCCTATCATGTTGGCCACCAGAAACCCAGCCCCCTCTCCCTGCTTCCCTTTGATAGGAATGAGGATTGGTTCAGGGTGCGGTTAGGAAGCAGGAATGGCAAATCTCTGGGGGTCTGGGCTGAAGGGGGGATGTTGCTGACTAGCCAAGTATAAGATCAGAGGAAGGGACAGAGAGCTTCTTCCCCAGCTCTTCCCCCAGACAGAGAAGGGGAAGAAACAGGACAAAGATGCCTGGCAGGGCAGGGAGCCATGAGGCTGAGAGATTTCTCCGAAATGCCCTTAAAAGGGGAAACTGAGACTGTAGGGAGGTGAGGGAAGAGGAGGAGACCGTAAGCTTAAAGGGGACTGGAGAGAATTACAGAGGGGGGAGGAGGCAGGGGGAGGGGAGTGAAGAGCTTGGAATCTCAGGGAACAGAGGAGCAGAAGCTCAAAAAGGAGCCCAGAGCAAGGGGAAAGGCCCTGGGGAAAAGAGGAGAGAAAGAAGAACAAGAGGGACAGACCTCCTCAGGGAAAGGAGAGGGGCAGGGCTCCCATGAGCAGGCCTCAGCCTGCCTGGAGCTCCCCTGTGCCATCTCTCTGACTGGGGCCCTCTCATCTTGTGGTCTGGGTGACCCAGCCCAAAGCAGGGCCAGGTGGCTTCCTGGCAGCCAGCCTCCTCCAGCTGCTTCTTGTCCCCTCGTCATACCCTAAATATACCTCAGGCAGCCCGGGTGTCAGCTTCCCCTCCGGAGTCAGGATTAGGGCCGCAGCTGCCGGTACCCTCTCTTCCCTTCCTGCCCCTCCAGAGGGCTAAAATTAGGCTTCAGAGTACAAGGAGCCTAGGAGGGTGTTGGGGTGGGGGGCATGCAGGCAGAGCAAAAGAGGGCTAACTCACAGTAAGAGAGTTTTCCTTGTTCCTTGCAGGGAAAAGATAGCCGGCCTGAGAATGTCCTAGTCCCCACCATGTAATGACAGTAATTCTGGCTGAGTCATTTCTTCTCTGAACCTCAGTTTTCTCATCTGTCGAGGAGGGCTAATCATCTGGGCAGGGATACTGGGAGTCTGGTGGAAATGATGCTGAGCAAAGGGCAGAGTGGCCCTGGGGCTGGGCAGAGCTGTTAGTCTGGGTTATTGACTCAGGAGATGTCTCTGTCGGACACCTCCTGGAGCTGCGGAGCTTAGGGGTGTCGGGGTGAGGCTGGGAGTCACTTGTCTGCTCCTGCCCTGGGGAACTGGCCTAAATAGAGGTCACAGGAGCAGAAGGAACCTTGAGCCAAGCCTCTCATTTGACAGATGAGGAAACTGAGGCTGTGAGAAGGGCAGGGATTTCTCCAGAGCCACACAGGCAGGATTCAGACCTAGGCTCCAGACCTTTCTGGCTTTGGGTCTTGCTGTTTTCCCGCTTTCTAACCAGCCATCTATATAGGCTCCATACCCACCCCATTGTAATACCCCCTATAGGCCACTATAATACCTAAGGGTCTGTGACAGGG